GTTGTTGTTGTTGTTGTTGTTGTTGTTGTTGAGTTGAGTCAGCAGTAAGAGGGAACTTCGGATATTGATTCTGGTTCATCCATTCATTGTTATTATTATTGGGAGAAGAATAAGATTGGCGAAGTGAAGGAGGAAGAGGAAGGCGGAGAGAGAAGGGGGAATTGTCGTTGGTCTTGCTGGTGCATATCTTCTTCTTCTTCTTCTTCTTCTTCTTCATCTTCTTCTTCTTCTTCTTCTTCTTCTTCTTCTTCTTCTTCTTCCTCTCTCCTCTGGCCTTTATCTCTTTGCAAGTGCTTTCATTTCTTTCGCAATTGGGTGGCATTGTCTTTAATTGTGAATTTGCACTTGGGAAATGATCAGGATCTTAACAGATTGATTGATTGATTGATTGACCGAATAGGTCGGGGTCAGGGAGGGTCGGGACTCTCCTGATACTCCCCCAAACACTACCCTCTTGTTGTTCCTCTTCAGCCTCCTCCTCCTCCTTGTCCTCCTATTCCTCCTCCGCCTCCTCCGCCTCCTCCGCCTCCTCCGCCATATCTCTCTCTGCCTCCTTCTCCTCCTTCTCTGCCATATCTTTCTCCCCCTCATCCTTCTCTTCCTCCTCCACCTCCTCCTCCTCGTATCCTTCTTCCTCCTCCTCCTCCTCTCCTTCTTCTTCCTCCTCCTCCTCCTCCTCCTCCTCCTCTCCTTCTTCCTCGTCCTCCTTGTCCTCCTCTCCCTCCTCCTCTTCATCCTCTTCCTTGTCCTCCTCCTCCGCTATATCTCTCTCCTCCTCCTCCTCCTCCTCCTCCTCCTTCTTCTCCGCCATATCTCTCTCCTCGTCCCTCTCCGTCATATCCCTCTCCTCCTCCTCCTCCTTCACCTATCTACTTTCCTTCCTCCTCCGCCTCCTCCTTTGTTTCCTCCTCCTCCTCCTCCTTTCCTCCTCCTCCTCCTTCTCCTTTCCTCCTCCTTCTCTTCTTCATCCTTCCCCTCCATCGCCTTATCTCTTGCGCCCTCCTCCTCCTCCCCCCCGGGCCATTCTTCTTCTTCTTCTTCTTCTTCTTCTTCTTCTTCTTCTTCTTCTTCTTCTTCTTTTTCAAGTTTTCTTCTTTAAGTTCTTCTTTTTTGTCCACTTCCTCCGACCCAGCTCGTCCTCCTCCTCGTCCTCCCGCCATTCACATTCATTTTGTCTTCATCCTGTCTTCTTCTTACTCTACTTCTTCTCCAGAACCTTCATCTTCTTCTTTTTATCCTCATCATCCCAGCTCATGCTTCCCATCCTGCTCATCTTTCTCGTTTTCTCCACGCGTTTTTTATTTTATTTTTATTTTTGTACCTGTAATTCAATCTATCAATCAGTCAATCGCTCAATCAATCGATCACTCGATCAATCAATCAATCAATCAAGGTAACTACTTGCCACCCATCTTTGGCTGGTTGGTTGGTTGGTTGGTTGGTTGCTTGCTTGCTTGCTTGCTTGCTTGCTTGCTTGCTTGATTGATTGATTGATTGATTGATTGATTGATTGATTGATTGATTCGATCAATCAGTCAATCGATCAATCAAGGTAATTATCTTTCACCCATCTTCGACAGGTAGTTGCATTGATTGATTGATTGATTGGTTGGTTGATTGATTGATTGATTGATTAATTGATTGATTGATTGATTGATGGATGGATGGATGGATGGATGGATGGATGGATGGATGGATGGATGGATAGATTGATTAATTGATTGATTCGATCAATTAGTTAGTCGATCAATTAAGGTAACTATCTGCCACCCATCTTCAGCAAGTAGTTGTATTGATTGATTGATTGATTGATTGATTGATTGATTGATTGATTGATTGATTCGTTGGTTGATTGATTGGTTGATTGGCTGATTGATTGCTTTACTTGATGAATCATTAAGTGAATCAGTCAATTAATCAATCAAACAATCAAGCATCAACCTTGATTGATTGATTTAATTTTAAAAAAAAACAAAAGAAAGGGCGAGAGAAAGATAGACACACAGAGAGAGAGAGAGAGGAGAATCCTGACCCTCCAGAGAGTGAGATCAGGGACACCAGGGGCTGTGACGTTTGCAACTTGCCACATCAGCGCAGTTCTAGGACTACGTCATCACCGGGTTATCCATGTGAGCAGCCGATCTCCCATGACAGCAACGGACGTATGATGTCGGCATTACACCGGTTGCGACAGCAACACGAGAGGTAGATCAACAACATGCGTGCCACACGAACAAAACTGGGCAAGCAACATCAGCAGGCTTTGGACCCCCTTGAATTTCAAGCATTGGGCGTGCCGCATTTGATGGCATTAGGCCCCCTTGGATTGTAGGCATTGGGTGTGTCGCATTCGAAGGCATTGAGCCCCTTCCTTGTTTTTTTTTTATGCCCATGTCAGTTGTGGCTCTCCCATGTCTGCTGCAGCAGCAGTTGCTGCAACACGTGTAGCAACAGTTGCAAGCAGTCGTAGCAGGAGGCACCACATCAACGACTGTTGCAACAACAGTTCTCGCAACAACAACAGTTGTTGTAGCAGTCCTTGATTCAACAACAGTTGCAATAGCAGCAGCATTTGTTGCAACATCTTTTGCAGCAACACTTACATCAATAGTTGCGGTAGAAGACCTAGCTACAATGCCAACTGTTGCAGTAACAGCAACGACAACAATTTGCGATAACTTATGGCAGCAGCAAAAGCATCGGGCAATAATTTGTGTGCACTTGTTGCAATGGCAGGGGCATCAGCATCTGCGAGCGAGGAGGGTGCAATGGGAAGCGAGACAGGGGAGTTCCTTGTGGACCCGAAACACGCATGGAAGTCGGGAGACCACTGCATGTGGAATTGGTTGGCACGTGGGAGGTCAACGGGGGCGAAAAGTCATGGCGGGAAGCAAATGGAGTGCCTCCTGCGTGGACTTGTGTTCCTAGGCTACCGCTTACGCGGGCTCTAGCACTTCACGAAGAAGAGGAAGGCGTTGAGGTGCCCGAATGTCACTGTGGTGATCTATAGGAAGTTGCGGTGCCCAAATGTGGAGTTGTCACTTGATGCCGAATAGATGCTGCAGCGGGAGGATGAGGCTGCAACACAGACCGCTCCAAATCTCCCTCTTTCTGCCATTTGTGTCGGTGATGACGTGGGGGGCAGAGATGATGTGGAATAGCGGGGAGAGGCAGCGACAATGAAAGGTGCAACTATGACAAAGGTCACAAGCAGAAAAACACTTGCGAGGAGACAAAGGCAGATACCTATAGATCGATATGTCTGCAACCTGCACCATCGGGAGATTGATTTTGTTGCCATGGACGTGTTCGCACAAAATGTCATACCATTCAATGTGGCGAAGAGCAGAAGTTAGTGGAAGTTTTGTGAACTGTCCTTCGGGCCTCAATCCACAGCTCGCTGCCCGTTCAAGCATGTGTCGTATAACACGCAGCTGGAAGAACTCCTATACTTCAGGAAACATACGTACTTGGCATAAGAGGCCAAACTACGGGTTGACTGGGAGAAGATGGCATGTACGCTCATCACAGATAGCACCACTAACATATGTGGTCGCTCTGTGCTGAACTACATCCTCGCAAGAAGAGACACACCAGTCTTCATCAAATATGATCAATTCAAGAGGAAAGACAAGAACTTTGCTGCAATGCTTGAGTTATGAAAGACGTTCCTAAGGGAGAACAGGCAGGTCACAGATATTTGCACTGAATCCTTCGCCTTAAACAAGGCATTTGAAGAGATGATGGGTAAGGATTCAAAGTGTGCATGTATGTAATGGATCCTGTGCACTGCATACTATATGGATTTGTTCCTTCATGACCTGGAGGGGATGATATGGGCAAAGAAGATCCTTGACGAAGCAAATGAAGTCGCCAAGTTCTTCAGGATTCAAAGCGCCCCACAGAGATGCTTTTTGGGTGTGGCAAGATTGTCCTAACGAGGCCACCGACAACAAGATTTGGGACAAACTTCATCATGCTCGAGCGGTTGAAGAAGAAAGAGGCGCAAGTGGAGGGCACAATCAACAACATGCAGTGGGAAGAGATGCAGTGACCGTACGCCATTCGAGATAAGGCGCTGCTTCTTGAGAGATGGGGGCAGTCTACGTGTTTTTGGAATGATGTTCGAATGATGGAGGAGGCACACTCAATATTGCAGATGGTTGATCGTGATGTGCGCCGCATCTCACATGTTTATGACGCAGCAGTGGCGTTGAAAAATTGTGTGCTTGCAAACGATCAGACATCGATGACCCAATTTCGGGGTGTTGTGGAACATCTTGTAGGGTCTCGAGGGATACCACAGTACCAAGAGTGCACTGACTCCTTACAAGCGTTTCAAAAGGAGCAAGGAATCCTTGGAGTTTTAGAGGTGTATTGTTGTGGAAGGTTCGACAATGCATTGGATTGGTGGGAGGATCATGGGAGAGGACACCCAACTTTGCAACGATTGGCACTATGAATACTCAGCATGTGTGCAACCTCCTCCCCTTCAGAGAGGAATTGGAGCACATGGGCTCTCGTGCATACCAAGGGTCCCAACAAGCCGGAGCACAAGAGAGTGGAGAAATTGGTGTACCTCCACTGAAACCTCCGATACGAAGGAAGAGTGCAGGGCACAACGACGTATAATAGTGGTTGGTTGGGGCTGATTAATGTTGAGACAAACACAAACGATGAGGAGAATGGAGCTGTTGCAGCGAATGAATGCACTGGTAGAACACTAACGGCGTCAGCAGTTGGATCGACATCTGTGGCTCGACCTATGGCACAGAGAGCCATAGAAAGGGAGTGGGAGGAGGAGATTGGAATGATGAAGAGTCGTCGTCAGAATCATCGGATGAGGTTGAGGAATTAGAAGACATGTGGAGGTCTGAGAAGTATGACTCAAACGCGACATAGACGAGGAGGGAGCACATTCTTCCATACAAAGAGGGCACACGTAGAAGCACGCAATCCGAGGAGCAGTGACAAGATTTGCCGCAACAGCAACAACAACAAGCAGAAGTGTCAGCACCAACAACAACAGCAGTAGCAGTAACAACAAGAGCGGCAACATCAGCAACAACTACAACAGTAGCACTAACAGCAACAGCGACAACGACAAGAAGTGCAACTGCATCATCAACAACAACAGCAACAATAAGCGCTACTGCACTACCAACAACATCAAACACAACTTAACCAGCACAACAACAACAACGATAGTAGCAACAGTAGCATCCGCAGAGGCACCACCAGCAAAAACAACAGCAACAACAAAAATGGCAACAATCACAACAGCATCAGCAACAACAACAACAGCAGAAGCAGCACCACCAACAACAATAATAGCATCATCATCAACAACAGCAACAGCAACATCAGCAATAGCAGGAGCACCTCAATAGCAGAAGCAACAGCAACAACAACAACAACCATAGCAGCAGCAATAGCAAGAACAATAGCAAGAACAATAGCAAGAACAACAACAAGAGTAGTAGTCGCAGCAACACCAATAGAGAAGAAGCAACAACAATAGCAAGAACAACAACAAGAGTAGTAGCCGCAACAACACCAACAGAGAAGAAGCAGCAGCAACAATATCAACAGCAACTCGAGCAGCAACAACAATATCAACAACACAAATATCGGCAGCAGCAGCAAGATTAACAACAGCAGTTGTTGGAGGAGCAACAACACTTGCAGCACGGGGCGCATGAGCAGGAGCAGCCACAGGCCCTGCCAGTTCAGGTGGGTGGCATCTCTAGATTTTATGGTTCAAGCCTCCTGAACGCTAGAGCAGGCAAACCAAATTCGGAGGCGGGGGATCACCGATGCCCTGAAGCACATACTTTACGTCCCTGCTCGTCGCAAGGCATGTTGGGGAGAGCATCACACCCCAACATTTTGTGGAACCTGTTGCTCATTGAACAGGGCGTGGCAAGGGTCGAGGTGGAGGTCGAGGTGCGCAGGAAGTTGTTCCACTTCCTGCAGGTCGTGGTGAAGAACGAAAAAAATGGGGGAGGCCAAAAGGGAGTGGGACCAAATGCGAATCTCCCACCATCGTACCTCCCACAACTGATCCTGATCCCGTATGTGCACTGCCGCCAGACGAACAAGTGAAAGGCAAAACCCCGTCAGTGGATGCTACAAACGACGCCCACTCAAAACTCAGAGATATGGTAGCCGAGAACACAGTTTAGATACAAGTTCACTTCAATGGCTATGGCGACACAGCGCCCACTCAACTCTTTGTTCGCACACACAGGATCACCCTGGATATCCCACACACGTTACTCTGTACACGCATACACACGCACACACACTGCACGATATCTACAGCTATGGCGGCTATGGCCACTGCTACCCTATCGCTATGGTTAAGCTTCTTCTCTCTCGCCCACTTCGTCATCGGGCTCACTACAGACCTCGTCGCACAAGTCACTGTGGCAGCGCTTTCGCATGGCTCATGCAAGAATGAATGAATGGTTGGACGCTGCCCATTGATTTATACTTTTGTAGCTCGTTGGTCAGGCCCTTTCCCTTGCCCGTGGTGCACACAGTCCCATGCGGTACTTGCTTGATTGGACTAGGACTGACTGGGACTGGTACTGCTGACTGCATGGGTTTGCACTGCCAACTCGATGCAGTTGCACGGCTAACGTACAGCAGTTGGGCTCACCACTTGCCCACTTGCCTCAGCCAAAACGTGAGCAACTTCGAAAGGCCACTTGTAGGACCTTTCGGAAGTCTGGGTCCTGGCCTTTCGAAGAATGTAGCAGCTACGACCTTGACCTTTCAGAAGTTTTACGGCTACGACTTCTAGAACTCCCTTGGACTTCTACTCGATAGATCTACAGATGGAACAGATGTGGGATCACGTTCTCCACCTATATAGGGAGTGATCGAAAAGGGAGACAAGCATGGACGGTTCTGGCTTCCTGGCTAACACGTAAGTGGCCATTCACTATTTCTGATGTCGTGAAAAGTATCATAGAAAGACTTATGCCGAACGAACAACTTACCCGTAGCTAACTTAGCAGAAGCACGACTTTAAACTTTGATTGAGATTTGGCTGACCCAAACCCTCTCCCGACAAGTAATATTTGCATTAAATTACATAAATTTCATACAAGTCACCCGAGGTCAAGTTGTGTAAGTTATGTGATTGAACATGCTTAACACCTCGGTTGTATCAGATTCCTCTAAAAAAATTATCATAAAGGGAGACTGTACCTAGTAGTTTAAGACTTAAGTTAAAGCCTTAGGGAGACAGTTACTATAATAATTACAGTACCTAGTTTAAAACTAAGTACTAATATGATCATGGCATTATTTAGGATGTATCCTCTGTATAAATTATTACATCGGTTTTTATGAACATAGTACTAAGTATCAGTTTATGTGACACTGTGTAACATTGTCAAGTGGCTAATATGATCATGGTTGTATATAATCACTCTAGTAATATGGTCCAGGACTGCTCGGGCCACATTGCTTAAAGTTTACTTTAAAGTTTGTTAGAGAGACAGTCACTGTTACTGTACCTAGTCTAAGACTAAGTACCAGTACACCAACTATCATGTTTAGGATGATTATATCCTCTGTGTAATTATTACTCGGGTTTCATGAACAATGTCATACTAATTATCAGTCTAGGTCATTGTTACTGTAACAGTTATTGTACCTAGTCTTAGACTTAGACTAAGTATTATCATGTTTTAATTAGGATGTATTCTCTGTATAATTACATCGGATTTCATAACATTGTGTAATTAATATACAGAGGATACATCATAAAGTTAACATGATAGTACTAACTATCCGTCTAGGTGACACTGTGTAACTTAAACTTGATATCATGGTTGTATGTTACTCTATGGAGTGCTCGAACCACAAGACTTAAATTTTGTCTTTAAATTCAATTTGAGACTTTGGTTGCTCAACGTTGTAACGTTGTATATAAATATTGTAATTATTATTATAAATTAATAGAATGAATTTATTTCAAGTTTTGATGCAATTATACAGGATTTTGGTTGAATGAACACATTAGGAGTCACTACAGTACATTATTAATTAAATATCCTTAAGACAATTGAGAAGTTGAACTCATGACATGAAGTTCAACTTATGACAAGCAAAAAAACTTAGACTTTGTCAAGCTTTCGGTCAAAATTTCATGAACACATTAAGAGTCAATATTATAACTGATACAGTACTACACAATCATTCTCAATTGACAAGTTGAACTTATGATAACTTGAAGCAAGAAAACAAAAAATGGATCGGGTTACCTATTCCACATATTATAAATTTCTAACAATTATAAAAACTTCAAAAGTTTTCAATAAGAAGATACACAATCCTTCTCAAGATAATTAATTGACAACTTGAAAACTAACAACAGTCACTTCAAAAGTTTTCAATAAGAAGGTGCTACTCCAAAAATTTTATATGACACAGAAGGTACATGAAACCAGTGTATAATGTGTTATCCAAATAAAACTAAGACTTATAGTACCTAAGGTATGAAAACTCAATTACACCTTCCAAACCGAGACAAACTTTTACCTAACCAAACAGTTTGCAAGACTAGGACCTAGCATGAATGAAAAACCCTCAACATATTCTACTATGAAAATTTTAACTAATGTGAAATTTAAACATAAAATTTTAAAAACTCTGAGACTAAATACTCAAAGTGTCAAGAAGTCGAAATGATAAGAATAAGTTTCTTTGCAGAGCGTTCACTAACGGTTCTCATGTTGAACCGTCCACCACACAACTCAGGAGTGGAGGTTGAGGCAGACTTTCAAACTCCATAATGGAAACCAAAACACCTTCAAGGGGTCTCCCATCATTGAGTATAGTTCGTCTTGTGGACAAAAGCACATTTGTTGCTCGTAGATAACCTTCTATAAAATCCCCATGTCTCCAGTTTTCTCATCGACGCTCATATATTCGCACGTCCAAACAGTCCAGATTTGTAAACTTCCCCATGATGAGAAACATTTTTCGTTCTCTCGCTTCACATTTGAATATTTTCTCATATTGAATCGGAAACGCTCCTCCCTTTGTGATGATCGTCAGCCGTTCAGACACTTCAATTTCAGTGACTACCACATTTTCCGCCATCTCCTTCAAAATGATTTAAATCCGACCACTGCATATGACAAAAATTACAATAATGTTTTATTCAAGTGATTGATTGATCGAAGTTTCAACCATATTACTAGCTAAGGTTTAAACTATCTTCTAATGATATGTGCTCTCTCGATTACGTGCTTCACATCAAAAAGAGTTTCAGATCGATTTTTGACCATGGACATGGTGGGATTTGGGTCGCCGTAGTGTCACCTCAGACTCTGAATCCTGCCCTTGATGAAACACTATCCGCGACTCCCTCATATTTTTTTGCGCTGACACTATCAACTATATGAACACCATCTTCTCCAACTAGAGCAGCGAATGCATTAACTCGAACTTTAGACGAAATTATAAGGTCCGAGATTAATGGTTTTGTGAGAACTCTTCCTCTCGATGCTCGTTTCCACTTTTTCTCCCACACATTCTGCCATTGCTCCTCATCCTCAGTAGATCTTTTCCACTTTTTCTTCCACACATTCTCATAACGTTCCTTAAGTGAATACGATTTGCCCGTAGGAATCCAGAATCGAACTTTTACCTGGTTGTAATGTTTGGAGTCATTTTCTAAGACAACTAAAGTTAGCGCTTGGTCCACCAAAAACGGAACACCCTTTGCGAGTTCTTCATCTGGCGGTTGCAGAATAACGAAACTGTCTTTCTCAACATCCAAAATTGGGTCAAAGTATGTCTTCTAGTGATCCTTTTTGTGTCCAACGAACAAAGGTTCTCTTTCCGGTTCTTCAGAATCAGACCGCAAATTTCTTCCTCTTGCCTCTTCAAGGCAGAAGGCCAAAAGGATGTCATTGGTATCTTGGATACTCTGTTTGTCGATGATATAAGATTCATATTCTTTAACACCCTCCCAATAAGCAAAAACATTTTCTATACACGCTACCTCTTTCGGGTTCTTCAGAATCAGACCGCAAATTTCTTCCTCTTGCCTCTGCAAGGCAGAAGGCCAAAAGGATGTCATTGGTATCTTGGATACTCTGTTTGTCGATGATATAAGATCCATATTCTTTAACATCTCTGTGTGTCCATATCGACCTTTTCTCTCATAATAAATGCAGAAAACGATCCACACCTTCGCATCCATTCTTGTAACACTCTAGCTTTGTCGGTTGACTCTGAAAAGGTCAAATGGCTGCAATGGACCAACATATTTGTCGTCGTCATCTTTTTCAAACCAGTAAAACGGACTGTCTTTGGACACCTATTCCATATTGTCACAATATTATTTGGACGACATC